GGACTTAGGTCGGCAGAGGAGGCAGAGGGAGGAGAGAGGGAAGAGGAGAAACTCCGTCACACTCACAAAAATGAACCAAAAACAAATAAATAAACAAGTTCAAATGTTTTTAAATATTGGATATGGGATGTTATTGGTTATGGCCATATTCTTATGATTTTATGATTATTGAAATGTATACAGTTCTCTTTGATATGGGTGTTTCCATAGATCTAGTCTCTTTATTATGGTCTCTGTGGGCTCAGAACAGTCTCATAATAGACCCATGCACACAGAAGGATTCACACTTGTATTTCATGATCCACACTTGTGTTTTTCAATGCACACACAAATGTGTTCCGTTTCATATCCATGTAAATAAAATCCAAATACAGAAAAAAGTTTTAAATGTGTATTTTTGATCCACACATTTGTTTTCCGTTTAAAACCTCTGAACCTGCAAACACAAACCGCTTTCTGTGCACGGATCGCTGTGCATTCGTGTGTGGGTCTTTTGAGACTCCCCTGACGGTCAGCCGATTCGTACTTGTAATTTTTTCTATCTATAGCCAAACAGATGTCTCCTCAATTCTAAGCCAATCACATGAGCGCGCTGTTGGGGCAGAATCTCTGCTCCGCGCCGTTCCTATACGAGCGGGTTCTCAAAAAAAGGAAAAATTCAAAGCAGCCAGGATAAGGGTTAAACAATAATCTGCTTTAATGGTGCAAACATACAAATACATCACCGAATCACGAAGCACTCTGCAGAGTAGTCCGGGCTCAAGTTCTACCACCGTGTGAGACACGTCTCAGGAACGGCAAGTCAAAAACAAGAGCGCCGATTTCAAAATAATCACATAGTTCAGTTTAGGTGATTACACAGAGTTCATCTTCTGGACGGCGGAGACAGTGAGTGTTGCAGGTTTCTCACGTTGGTCTGTTTGCCTTTGCTGGCGGTGATCCCAGGTTATGTTAATTCAGGTTTGTTGATTCCATGTTGCTTCTGTGCGTGTGTGTGTGTGTGTGTGTGTTTCTGGCCTATGTCTGGCCCTTAGGCATATCCCCCAATCAATGATTTGGAAGTCTAGTGACAGGAGGACTCTTTGACAGTGACCACATTATCTGCTCCGCCGCTAACATGCATCTTCGAACACCACACAAACATTCTTGTTTTTTTGTTTTTTTTTGATTGCATGTCACATCTTAACAAGAGACGTCTTAATTTGTGTCTTATCGTTAGATGGCTTCCCTAGGCAAGCTGTCCCTTTCACCCCATAAGTCAGCTACTATGAATGAATACTATTTTAGTTTTGAGTAAGCTCCAAGATATGGTATTTTTTGGCCTCTATTCTCATTTACTGCTGGTGGAGTGAACGCCAAGTCGCTCGAGGCCTGCTAGGGAGTGGTGTAGTGTCGAGGTCTGTTATAATTACGATTATATCTCTTCAAGACTTTATAACTGACGCTGTTACTATTCGTGAAACATGTTTTATCGTTAGTTGTTTCCCCTGGGGATGCGTGAAGGTGGACTAGTTGATAATTAAGCAGTAGGAACCCTGGGGGCCTTCTCCTTGGGTATCTGGCTAGCAGAAAGTACTCAAGCAGACAGATCCACATCAGGTTAACACACAGGTCTCGGTATATAAAGGGTGACATTAAAATGGAATATACCAGGGATTGGAACGTCCTGCCATAACACGTTACTTTTTAATTATCTTCAAATAAGCATATATTTATATACTT